ACCCAGCTTGTACATCCGGTAGTTCTCGGTTCATGTATTGCTGAAGCCTAGCTTGTAGGACGAATATTTTGATTGTATCCTTATTCTCTCAGAGTTGATATCTGTAATTCTACATTATTTTTCTAGCCTTGTTCTAGTTATATATTTATTCTACAGATTGTACTCATTTTGGGTAGAAGTCAAAATATTATATACAGCCCTTTTAAAAAGTATTATTAATACTTGATGAAGAAAGAAGGGAAGAAACCTATGTGTCAGGAAGGAGAAGAAATGTCAGTCAAGGTGGAAAGAAAGAGGATGGCATGAAAGAATTGCTTTCTTGGTAAGAGCAAAGCCTCTCACCATAGATTTGCTGAATTCCCATGACGTCATCTAGGGAAAGTTGGTACAGGTGGGGCAAACCAACAGGGCCTTGGTAATATGGCATCATGATGGACTCCTTAACAGAAGAGTGAGCCAGTCCCAACGCATGGCCAAACTCATGCACTGCTACAGCAAAGAGATCTGTGCCATGACCTGAAATCAGGAGAAAAAGAACATTTTACTCAAGGTTTGAGTTTCTTTGGACAATTTTTTACAAGATACTGAAGTCTCATAGTGTGGTGTGTAGTAATTCTGAAGATACCTGGTGATTCATTCTGTGGGTCATAAATCCATGTCTCTTCATTATCAAAATGGGTATCGCCAGAAATGGGATATTCACCCGGGAAGAAGGCATGGGCCAGGGTGCCTCCAGGCCCATCAAAAGGGTATGTGTCATCATGATAAGAGGCTGCAAAATCCACTAAGATGTCTGCTTGTTCAGAAGGCATTTCTTTGAAGGTCAAGGCTGAAGAATTGCTCCAGGCTTGAAAAGCATAGAAGATAAGATTTCGGACATGATCACCAGACAGTTGTGAGGAACGAGGGAACGAACGGATGCTAGAGTGGGGGAAAAAGAACATAAGTAAAGAATAGTGTAAGGCCAGATGAGTCTTGCTGGATTAGATTATACCAAAGTCATATGTAGTTCAGTATCTTGTTTTGCAAGATGATCAACAAAAAACTTACTGGAAGCCCACAAACAGGATGTGTAGGCAATATCCTTTTACACTTTTGCTATCCAGCTTGTGGTATTCAAAGTCATGATAAGAGTCATAATAAGGAACAGAAGAGCAATTACTGACAGGGTTGTGGCAAAGTGAATAAAAGTACAGGAACAATAAAGACCCAAGAAAGAGATGGAACAGAGGCAGTAAGTTATAGTAGACCTTCTCCAACCTGGTGCAACCACCTGTGGACAGACTAACTCACTCAGTTGGTCAATTAATAAGTTATGCAATGAGAAGTAGATAGTAGACAGAAGGAGAAAGTAGACAGAAGGAGAAGATGAGCAGGGAAGAAATTAATAATACAGCCATACACTGAAAATATATTTCTCCAATTTAGAGGATGTGCTGAATTATAATTCCTGTGATAGCTGGATGTCATGGTCTGAGATATTGGAATATAAACCACAGGAGGACACAAACCTCAGTAAATAAGATACAGCTTAACTCTGCACTCCCAGGCCTACTCTTTCAATGGAGATGCGATCATCAGACTTACTGCCACGTCAAGTCTGTCTTTTTCCAGACGTTGTCACTGAGAGCGTAACGTCTCTTCCTACGCATCAACTCAGAGGTGCCAATGAAATCAGGGAGCGAGCAACGAGGCCTGTTCATCATTTCCAAAGTCTTTTGATCTGCAAAAGAGACAGGAACATGGAACCAAAGCTTTATTTTCCACGCTTTATTTTTAATTCAAGTCCCCTTTCTCTGCTCTGACCCGGAAACAGGAATTATAGCTACTGGATGTGAGAATATTTTAATGACATCTCTTGGACTCTAGTAACGGTATCTCTAATCCTAAACCAGTGCAGGTAGGTGGTGGTAGTTCAAGGTCATGCCACAAATGTTGGTTTTAGTGGATGGTATCACAACCCACCTCAAGTTTGGAGTTATTGGAGAACATCCCAAACCATGAATAGGGACATCATTCAGAAAACAAGCACAAGTGTAAGAGAAGCCGGGGAACATGGATCAGGAGAGGAACGCCTTGGAGGCTCCACTTATCCCAATTCACTGGCAGCACAATCATGCAGATTTTCTGGAGGAGGAGGGTGGTTTCTGTAGCATGATATGACTCCATCATAACGCACCTAGGGTTACCAGATATCTGAACAGGCAAAGGAGGACACGGACAATTGAAAAGGAGGACAAATGAAGGGGGAAAGAGGACATGCTGTTTCATTTTCTTGGCATCTGCAACAAAAACTACAGTGAAAAACTGCAAAAAAAAAAAAATTTAAAAAGTGCTTAGGCCTACATGAATATGAAATTACTTTTTCCAGCCTCAGAACGACTGGTTTTTCACTCGCAGTATTTTTCCAACAAATCTTTACTTTCAAGAACATGCGCTAGTGATCATATAGAATCAACAATGACGCTTTTCAAATTTCACCCTAAAAATGTATGACACGTCATGTGATCTACAGATTACCGCGGTCACAGATTTGAAGGGCAGGATTGAAGCCAATTGCTGGAATCATGAAATAAATGAAATGTAAGCTGTTGAGTCTGTTGACAGACAAGGGAAAGAAAGGAGCAGACAATTTGCAAGGTCACAACACATGAACATTTGAATGACTACGGCTGTGAAAACAGCCCAAAATTTTAAAAAAAACCCGATACTCAAAAAGCCAGCCAATGCCTGTTAGATGGAGGACATGAGGACAAAAAAGCAACATGTCCTCCTTTTTGGGGACATCTGCTAACCCTACATTCACCCCGGCTTCCTTCGGTGAACAGAGACACCTACCCAGTTTCCCGGTCACAGGCAGCCCTGCAAACCTTTGCATCGTTCTGACAGCCACGGAGAATTCTTCCTGGGTCTGAAGACGCGCTGCTCTGGGGTCTGGCTGGGGAAGGTAGCCGTAGCGGATCAACCATTCCTGTGAGGACACAGTTAGCACCGCGAATCAGTCAGCAGACAGGCCGCGATGGCAGGATTGTGCCTTTCTCGGGCAGAGCCCCTCTCCTTTTGTTAGAAAGAGTTTTCCCTCCCTTGCCACGGAGACACAGCTACGGGGAATGTTTGCTTGCTTGAACCCACAATGGGGCAGCTCTACAAAGAACAAGGCGATGTGATTGGTTCATGCATTACACCAAGCCACGATTTGCTTCCTAGTGGCTTATTGAATAAAACACAATCACCCAGGTTCACCCAATAGGCTAAGTGATAACGAAACAAACCATACCGGCTAGGTTCGTACAACGCTGCAAGCCGTGACACAGTTTGTTTTGGGGGGCTTTACATGGGGTGTGAACCCTGCCCCTGTGGTCTGAAAATCCTGCTTATGGATTAGTATGTTGTGTGAACCCAGTCAATTGTAAGACCTAATTATTCAGATCATGATTTAGCATGTTATGTGTACATAGCTATTATATCCTCCCACCATACAGGTAGTCCTCGTTTAGTGAACACAATTGGAAGTGGCAAATCAGTCGTTAAGTGAAGTGGCTGCTAAGTGAAACTGTGACTGTGCTTACGATCTTACTTTAGCTTTCCTTCACTTTACAGACCTGCAAAGGTCGTAAATGCAAGGATTGGTTGCAAAGTTACTTTTTCATCACCGTCGTAACTGTGAACAGTTGCTGCATGGGGAACCTAGGTTCTGTGTTAGATAGGTAATTTCATTATATTGAGCTCCTTCAAGGAAGAATGGTATAAAAATAATTACCACACTATAGTATGTTACTATATTATTACTACTATATTACTATGTTACTACAGGTAGTCCCCGGGTTAAGAATGCCCTGTTTAAGGATGACCCATAGTTAAGAACAGAGCCTATTGTAGCAAAATTCGAGTAACTACACAATGGTTCGAGTTCATTACACAATGCTACTTATACAGTATTATACAATATTGTTCTGGCTTACATACAAATTCGACTTAAGGACGGACCTTGGGAGCAGAACTCATTTTTAAACTGGGGACTGACTACCTGTAGTATTCTTACTACTATACTAGTAGTAATAATTACTAGTCTATTACTTGCTAGCTAGCTGGGTAACAAATAACAGGTCACTCTTCTCCAGCTGGGCGGGGTCTTGATGCCCTGGGGCTGCAATTCCCAGAGTTCCCGGCTCATGTCCTGGCTAGGCATTCTGGGAGTTGCAGTCCCAACCTATGTGAAGCATGCTCAGTTGAGGCAAGCTACTCTAGGGTAACTCAAGAGGAGCGAGGAAATCCCCCAAAGAGCGCCCTGCTCTCCACTTCTGCTACTTCTTTCCATTTGCACTCGGATTCCCTTTTGCGACCGTGTAGGGCAGCAATTTTGCTCCCCAGTTGCGTGCCATGAGAGGATTCATCATCGCTTCTCCTTCCATTTCTCTAGATTAGAGCAATGGTTCCTTCTTCCTTACGGGGAAAGGAGAACTAGGATGCAGAACCACCCAGGGGAAGCTTCAAAACGGCCAGCCTTTTTTGCTCTGCTGGCTCCTGCTGCTGCCTTCAGCTGTCCAAAGAAACCCAAAACAAGCTGTTCCCTGAAGCCTCTTTGCAGGATTAGGGAACACAAAGGGAGCAGGAACATGGAAACCTCCCATAAGTATTCTGTAAGACAGTGTTTCTCAACCTCAGCCACTTTAAGATGTGTGAACTTCAACTCCCAGAATTCCCCAGCCAGCATGGGGAATTCTGGGAG